CCCTCTCTCCGCGCTCAGGCCCGCACTCCGCGAGCCCAGCCAATCCGCGAGCACCTGGCGAAGTTCCCGCCCTCCAGGAGGTTTCCGGCCACGCGATTGGTCACTGGGAAGGGGCTGTAAAAGCCCCAGGCGCCGGGCCACGTGACGTTACAGAATTGCGCTTCTTAAAGCAACAGCTCTTGGGCGGTTGCGGAGCTGGGGCGTATGACTTGGTGTACTTAATAGCCACGCTTTCAAGGAAAGCGTCCCCAGGCCCTTGGTCTCGCCTGCTCCTGAGTTTCCGAGCGCTTGCATTTATGCGACTGCAGCAAAGCTTCAGACTGGCTCCGTTTTCTCGCCCTCTTAGTGGAGCTCAGCTTCCCTCTCCAGCATCACCTGCCACAACTTTTCCCAAAAGAATGGATAAGGCTCCCGGGTCGGTACTCTTCGTGGACAGAAGGGTCTTCTAACCCACGTGCAACCAGACCGCCGCGCTCTGCTCATCCGGGCACCCTATCTCGTTTCTTCCCCGTTCCCTTCCTATAAGCCAAATACAAACCCTCACCTACCTCGCCGACCTCCTTGACCGGTTACACGCACACGGGCAATTCTCAAATGAGAAGCAAGGGGGCTTATTGACGAAAAGATGGTATCTGGAGTCAGACCAACCTGGGTTCAAGTTCTAATACTGCTTTCGGGCGAATTACCTAACCGCAGGTCCCCCATCTACAAAATGGGTAATAATACCCACCTCACAGTTACTGTAGGTTGAGATGTTTGTGAAAGCGCTTTGCAGAGTTGGTGGTTGAACTTTCTTTCACTCACACATCATGAGGCAGACAGTAAACTAGTTAATTCCTTTATGTTTATCCAAGAAGGGGCAGTTTGCAGGAGCGATTCTAGAATGGAGCTTTCTGCAGGGGAGCGAGCATGGATGTAACATCCTCCCTCTCCCTCCCTCTCGGGGTAGGTGCTGCTGCCTCCAGAAAAGATCCTCAGAGACTAGAGCTGGGAGAGCCAAGTGGATGTGAGTGCGGTTGCCATGGCAACGCCGCCTAAGGAGACTGCGACCCCGCTGAGTTCCCTCCAGCCATATTCAGAATGGCATGGCATTGGGAATAAATATTCCGCTTGCACTTGAGCAGTGGTTCTCAACCTTCTGGTCCTTTAAATACAGTTCCTCATGTTGTGACCCAACCATAAAATTATTTTCTTTTTTTTAAAAATATATTTTATTGAGTTTTTACAGAGAGGAAGGGAGAGAGGGTTAGAAACATCGATGAAACATCGACCAGCTGCCTCCTGCACACTCCCCACTGGGGATGTGCCCGCAACCCAGGTACATGCCCCTGACCGGAATTGAACCTGGGACCCTTCAGTCCGCAGGCTGACGCTCTATCCACTGAGCCAAACCAGTTTCGGCCATAAAATTATTTTCGTTGCTACTTCATAACTGTAATGTTGCTACTGTGATGAATCGTAATGTAAATATCTGATATGCAGAATGGTCTTAGGCAACCCCTGTGAAAGGGTCGTTCGACCACCAAAGGGGTCGTGACCCACAGGTTGAGAACCGCTGCTCTAGAGTGTCTGTCCTGTGCGTGAAGGGAAGGACTGAGGTCCTGCGTCTGAGATCAGATCAGCAGAATCTGGGCCACTGGCCGATCTCGCTAAGATACTGGGCTAGAGAGTCATGGGCAACCTTGGAGGCATGAGACAATCAAAAGAGGAAGGCCAGGGACCCGAGGGATGTTGGGAAACTACCCAAGCTGCCTGGGACTCCTTTGCCCCCAACCTAAGTGGGGACAGAGCCCAGGCAAAGCAATAATTATAGGAAGTGTGGCCACAGATCTAGCACAGTAACTTTCCTGGATTTAACAGACTTGGGAAAGCTGGCGCAGTGCTGAGAGCTGGAGATATAAAAAAGACAGGGATGCATGTGAGTCTACAATTATCTCAATAGAACAACTGAAACTTTACCTAATTAAAAAATGAAAAGGGAGACAATAGCAAAATAATGTTTGTGACCCACCACAGAGGCCTGAATGGAACAGCTTCTAGCGGTCCAAGAGGCAAGGCGAACAGAACCACATTCGTACCATGTTCCAGGCCTTAGTCTGGATGCTTCCGGTCAGGGTTCTGGACCTTGGCACACTCATATTTGAGGCTAAATAACTGTTTGGGGGCGGGGGGGCGGTGCTGTGCTATATACCCTGTAGGATGTTTAGCCTCATCCTTGGCCTCTACCTACTAGAAGGCAGTAACCTGCCCCCCGCCACACATACCCTCCTCTTGCAACATCCAAAAATGTCATTGCTAAATATCCCCTGGGAGCCAGTCACCCCAGATGACAGCCACTGCATTGTGTAGTAATTATGATTAAGTTGAATGCCTCTCATGGGCCAGGCTCTATGCCAGCCACTTGCATATACAGTAAATCCTCCCTGGATGCTCGTGATAGGTTCTGCAACTTTAAACAAAATGACATATAAGGAAATCAAGTTGATGAGGCTAATTGACACAAGCAAGAGTTACCGTATTTGCCGGCGTATGACGATTTTTTGGCCCTGTAAAATATGCCTCCAAGTGGGGGGTCGTCTTATACGCCAGGTACACTTCAGATAGACTGCCCATAGTGCTTGCCCCGTGCCATAGTGGCCTCCCGATGCCCGCCCACTTCATTCCACATACCGTTCCGGCATCAGCAGCGCTGCTGGGTGTATGCTCGGCTGTTATGCGATTTTGCTGTTATGCGATTTTACCACACTCGCAAAATCGCACACAGCCGACCATACACCCAGTATGATAGCGCAAAATCGCGAATCGCGATACCATACTGAGTGTATGGTTGGCTGTGTGCGATTGTGCGAGTGTGGTAAAATCGGGTTACCGTATATTTCTTTACATATGCATTGAAGATTCGCGATTTTGCGCTATCATGGTGCCTGTTAGAATGTTGAAGAGCTCGCACTTGCGCACTAGTGAGGTCCCAG